ATATCTAGTAAACACTCGAGCATTCACGAACCTTCGAGAATATGACGTGTTACTAGCGTCACATGACTTCCGTTGTCGTAAAAATATAATTATTTGTCCATAAAAGTAATTATGAACGAAACTTCTAGTCTCAAACACCTGTCTCACAATCATATGGAGTTGTTTAAAGAAATGTAATTCACAATCTAATTATGTACATATGTTGTCTGTGTGAAGTCAGGAGATGGAAGAAAGAGATGATTAATCATTCAAAGCCAAAACAAGGAGGCATCCATAAATTGGACAACTGTCTATATCTTTTTTTCCACTACTCGCTCTAAAGAAGATAAGTCCATCCTTTAAATGTACTGAAATCAGGACTTTTACTATATTTCGGCCAAAAATTTGATGTTCGTGGGTTTATCTAACGACAAGTTACATGCATCAAAATGCACAAAATAGTCCGAAATAGTTTATAGAACTTATTTTAATGTTTTAAATATTTAAATAATCAATATTTTATATAATAATGCTGATTAATCAAACTTGTATATTTATATTTAAGTTTCGACACTAGAAAAATATGATGAATTATACCTTTACTGTAAAACAGATGAAATCGCGAGAGACGTCGATTAACTAAAAAAAAGTATATATCTATGACGTACTAATTAATGTACCTGTGCTATAACAATGTAATTATTAACTACATAGGATTAAAAACTGATGTTAATATTTAATCTCTGTTGTTATATTTTATTTATTTATAAAAAGTATCTTGCATCTAATAATTGTACTTTTTTTAGAGGGCGCAAGGCTGGGTTTGTTGTGTTGTTTTTCGACAGAAATTAAGCCAGAAACGAAATCTCATTGAAATTACAAACTCACTCTTGTACTATTACTGGTAGTACTAGTACCTAAGATCTATGGTAGGTTACAAGATGAAGATTTAGTTAAACATCCGTTGTACCAATACTATTAGTTTAAAATTTCGGTAAGCACTTTGGCTTTTTGTTTCTTATTTATTTATTTACTAATAATAACACCATTATTAGGATTTGAATGACTTAAAGTTTAATAACTTTTTTAAAGTTTGGAGTTTGAACTGATTCTCTAAACTAAGGAGTCTAAATTCAGTTGTATTTGTAACTACTTGACTAGCAGTAGTACTAATACTAATAGTAATATTGTAATATGTGTATAACTAACGTATACAGATTTTAAGTTTACTTTGTTAGTTTGTAGGCTACACCAGAGAAACTAGCATGGTCTGAAAATTACGTAAAATTGAGTGAAAAGACTGAATTAGCCATTGATCAGAATACTGAATTATGCAGAATCTATCGATTGAATGAGGTTTAGTGAAAATAGAAGTAGAGTGTTACATCTTAAGCTTATGGTTTAATTTTAAGTCCAATACCACTATTACAGGTACTTGCACACAAAAATTAGCACAGCAGTATTGTCTTATAGTTATATTCAAAATTAATTATACTTTTATAGTTATATATAACCATTTATGTCTGTATACCTATTCAACAACATCCAAAAATAACTCGAACTAAAATTTTATTAAATAACGTCTTCATTAGAGATCTACAGTAGGCTCACAAAGCTGAAACCTTTCAGTAATGACCTTTTGTTTTATTTCACCATTCATACAACAAATATTAATAATGACTCTAACCAAAAACAGAACAATTATGAACACCTAAATCAAGGCTAATTATGGCTTCTTATTTTAGCTTAAAAGTCACTTAAACCACTAACCATTCTAATGTCTTATTTCAGCATTGTTTCCTACATCCTTCTTGTAGCAAAAGTGCGTAAAATAAGGCCTCACCAGTTATACAGTAACACAAATTCCTTATTCTTAAGTTCAAAGTTATTATAAATGAAAAATAAAGAGTTCCTTTTACCACAACCAAACACATTGCTGAGGACTAAGATTATATAAATAATTGCAACTAAATTTTGTTTTTCATAACATTGTTACAATGCAGCTTTCACTCAAGAAGCTCATTTTTTCAGTACCGTGGATAATTAAAAATTTTCATTATCAAAATTCATTTCCTATGTTCTGTACCAGTCAAAGCCCATTTAATTAAGAGTATTTTCAATATAATCAGCTTCTCCCAACATAAAAATATCAAGAAATTTGAAAATGTTACTGGCTAAGAAGCTATCTGGATCATTGGCATAAATAACTAACAAATGTTCCAAAACAGATCCCTATGAGACCCTACTCTTTCACATTCTTGCAATTTAGAAATTGTTTTAGAGTTGCTGAGGTTGAGAAAGAGAAATGCAAATTTTGAGAAATGGCACCAAGGTTTCAAGTCCAAGGGTTGTAATAAGTAGATAAGCAGGGATTTAAGGAAAATAAAAAGGATAATGGGGCACAAAGTTTTGAGAATAATGCACTTAGGATTTTTGAGCATGCTTTATTTTATTAAGTTACCAGGTTTCAGCCATTAGCTAGTAAGAAGGGTGAGCTGGAGCATAGAAGAGAAACAGTTGGGAAAGGAAAGAATGATAGTGCCAAGTTGAAGAAGGTCATAGCTATAGGTGATTCTTTCATAAGGCATGTGTATAGAATAATGTGGAGTAAATAGGAAGAAAATAATGAAATTATACTATCCAGGTGTTGGGGCTTAGAGAATAACTGATTGGGCAAGTGAGATAGTAAAGTGTGCGAGCTGTAGAGGTGGGTGATAAGTGGAACTTACTAATTAATTAATTGTCAGGATCATTAATCAATTACATTCTACTAATCAATTATTCTCACAGGAGATTTGGATAGTTGGAATAATGGAAAATAGTAAAAAGTGGAAATGGTAATTTTGATTAGTTAATTATTTTTGTGAGTTGCGACACTAATTGACTAGGATGAACAACCTTGAATTAATTGAAAATAATAATGAAAAACCATGATGGCAATATTTTGATTACTTAAACAGCTGGAATAATCAAAAATACAATTATTGATTAACTGATTGTTTTCGTTACACTAATAAATCTAATTGTAATTTTGATTAATCAATTATTTTACGTTACACTAATTGATATAACAGATAGGTAATTGAAATGAGAGGTTGGTAAAGGCATTTAAAGAAAAGGGCAATAACTTAATTTTGTCAAGGACATCTTAACTGTGAGGAGGAGATTCAAAATAGGTCACTAGGATTGAATGCTAGGCTTAGGTTAATATTAAGGACCAAGTGATTTGAAAAAGAAGTTTTTGGAATGAATAGATTATACTTAAGTATGGTGGAGGCTAGCTTGTTTACAAGGGTTATTTATTTAGCTATAAGGGAAACTTTAATCTAGGAATAGACATTGGTGAGGGTCAGAATAAATGTAATGCAGAAACAATAAGAAATATGGGAAAGCATAGTTTAGGACCAAACTATGGAAATAATTTTAAAGATAGGTTAAGTTGTTATGATATAGGACTTTGATATTATAGGAATAACTCAGACTTGGTTAAATGGAAACAATATTGATGACAGAAATTTTTTCAAATACAGAGTTATAGGTTCAGTAAAGATTTAAATTACTAAAAAGAGGAGGAGGAGTGGTTATTATATGTAAAATGTGAGTTGCATCCTGTTCAAGTTGAGGATATCAAAGATAATAGCAATGAGGTTGAATCTGTTTCGGTTTATCTTAATGGTTTATAATGGGGAAAAAGACTTGAATTAAATTGAGGCTGATGAAACTAATAAGAGAGACTACAGTAAGGTTAAGGTTACAGTTGTTAATGTGGTTATAATTATGAGAGATTTTCATTTCAGGCATATAAATTTGGAGATTTTAGAGCTGAACTGTGAGGTAGATAAATTTTTAGAAACCTTTCAGCATGATTTTATTCATAAATCATTTTGGGAGCCCACTAGAAATGATGCTATTTTAGATTTATTGTTAACTTCTAATGTATAAACTATTGAGATTGGAGAACATTAGGTGCAAATGGTTATTGCTGTAGGTTACATGTTTTACTGCATATGGAGATCAGGAATAAGATTTTTGGCTACGAATTTCAATAAATCAAATTTAAAAGATGTTGATAAGATTTGAGAAAAAAATTATAAAGTTTTAAATATTCAAGATTTTCTGGGTGGCTGCCATAAAATACTGGATTAGCTCACTATGCTATGACTGTAGAGAAGACGAACATGTGAATTAGTTAAACAAGAAGTTAGCCTTTTTTAGAGTCATTTAACAAAGTTGAACATTTTATTGGATAGTCAACAGTATCACTAGGTTTCACTTGGGGAAATCTTGCCTTCCCAATCTTTTGATGTATTATGATATTGATTCCTCAAAACTTCCACTATTAACAGCATTACTTTCAGTATGCACAGAGAATCCTCCTTTGTTCTTGCCACTAAACTATCTGCTTTTCATACAACATCCTGACCTTTTCTAGCTAAATTATAGTGCAAGTCTAAACTGTTCAGCATATTTAAACAGAGAATCCTGTATAACAGGTACTTCAGGACCCTTGCCTTTCCCACCATTATCAACAGCTAAAGGCTCATATCTGTTTGTAGTGATTACCTGCACTTCACTTAGACTTATTTTCTTAGTGCAAGACATTCTTCCTTTGTGCAACTTAGAGAGTTTGACATTTCTCTCCAAAGAGCAACCTTGTCATTAAAGATTTTCTTCTTTAACTTTCTTAACTAACCTACTTCTTTTAGTCTCTATAATTTTGCAATTTTCTTCAAAACAAATTCTTAATTTTTCCTCCATCAGGCTCTACAAACAAACTCCAATGCTGAACTTCATGAAAACTACAGAATAACCAATCTCTTTATTTAATTTACACACTCTGTTTTACTATTTCTAATCATTTTAAGTGGAAAACAAAAACACCAGATCTCTGGAAACTAAGTAAAAAGTAAATAAATGTATAAGAGATTAAAAGCAGCAGAAACAATATATTAATTCTACATAGCTAGTCTTACACGTAATAATACCTAAATGTGTTAAGAGAAAAAAAAATCAGCACATTACTCCAGCAATGTACACAAAACAATTTAAACAAAATTAAAAAAAAAAGAGTAAGATTACTGTTAGGCTTATTTTCAACTTAAGCTTAATTCCAACAAGGTTCCTTACTTCCGCTCACATACATAACTATTTTCATTTAGTGCTGCCCTCTATTTTAAAAACTTTTTGCATGCCACAAGCCTTTCACTCTCATGCACCCCTCATTTCACATAGTTTAACTGATCCTCACATGCAAATTATCATGTGACAAACCTTCACCAATAGTAGTGCCATACACCCACGACTCATGATACCCCTTGATGTCTTTATGCCAGGGATGTTATTGCATTTAAAGTGGTTCTGGTCTGTTTGATTTGAGTGGGATATATGTATATCTCATTCTGCTCACACGTGCTGTTCACAGATTGGTGGTGGGGTTTCTCCCTCTGGGTCGGCTGAAGTTGAGGTGAGGATGGTATGATTCTGTTTCCTACCCACGCATAAATGTTGGTTCCCAACGGTTGATTTTTGGATTGTAGTTGATTTATCGATGGTATGATCTTTGTCCTACCCCTCATGTCTGTCGGTTCACAGTGGTCAACTTTAGGAAGCAGTTGATTTGCCATGTACAGTCCATCACTCCCTAGCCACTCTACACTTTGCAGCACATCCCTTATTTTACCCACATTCTGCTCATCAGGGAGATTGAAGTTATTATATATTGTGGTTAAGATCATTGTCCTACCATTTTCTCTCCCATTGGGATGTGTTCCTCATAATTTTCTGCCCGGATCTATCACACCTTCTCCACATTTGGACGATTAGTATACCTGGTACAGAAGTGGTGCTGACTCCCACATATAATCCTGTTATTAGAAGGTGTCATTTCGATGTTTTTGAAGATTGCTTCTACCCTTGCACTGGTCCCTCCACCAATTCAGTGTGGGATTCTAGCTATGTATGTGAGTGGAAGTAAGGTACCTTGTCAGAAATTATAATTTTCCTACACAGAAAATGTATTTCCGACAGGTACTTACCTCTACTCACACTTCCCACCCTTCCACCCAATTGTCAATCAGTGCTTATGTTTCTCCCTGAACTAGAAGTGATAGTTATATAGAATAGCATAAAGGGAGTCACGTGGGTATGTGGCAACTATTGGTGGAGGTTTGTCACATGATAATTTGTATGTGAGAATCAGTTAAACTATGTGAATTGATGGGTGTGTAGGAGTGAAACGCTAGTGGCATGCAAATAGAGGGCAGCACTGAACAAGAATAGCTATGTATGTGAGTGGAAGTAAGTACCTGTTGGAAATACATTTTCAGTGTAAGAAAATCGTCACTTTAATACTCAGTGTCATAACCTAACTTGTAAAACTAACGAGAACCCTAGAACAAAAGTGAAAAAGCTATAGTGAAAGGAAATAATATAGTTAAGTAATAAAACTACAATTGTTTCCTTTTCCTCACCTGGACAGTTTAACACAGCTCAGTTTAGCTGAAAGTTCAAGTCTGATATGTGCAGTCATAAAGACTGGTTAAATGTGGCATATTTTGTTTTAAGATGTGATTTTAATTTTTGTAAATTTTCTTTCTTTTTTTTAAGTCTTTTGATGCTATGTAGAAATTCATTGACAGATTTTGCATTTAGTTTGAGATCTGCTCTTTATGGCCAAGAGTTCTTTTTATAATTTTAAACCTTTTCAAGTCTGCTGTAAAATTAAACTTGAAATATCTTATGAAAAATGTTCTGAAAGTCAGAGTAAATATATACATTTACTGCTGTATTTTCATCCACTGAGGAAAAAAGGTTTTCTTTTAAAGAATAAGTAAGTTGGTGAGACAAGAAACCCCCACTAGTAGAATGTTATGTGTTGTTTCATTAAATTCAAGATTGCAAGAGAATTTTCAAAATCAATTTTAACATCACCAATTTACATAATGATTATCTCTCAATTTCTACCATACTGTATATTATATAGATGGTAAAGTATTGAATAAAAATGTTTGGTTAATTAGTCTTACATTGTAGACTGAGGATGATAGGCACTATGTACCTGAGGTTACGAGTGTTTTTTTTTTCCCTCCATTTACATGTAGCTACACAGTAATATTATTAAAGTGGCTAATTATCATTGGCAAAACAACTGCTGATGTCCCTGTAGGCTTGAGTGATTTTTATTACTACAAGAAATTAACTACTAAAGCATCAAAACCATTCTGTCTTTGAAACTAACCAATGCTCTTACACACCTTTTCACCCAGAAGCTTTGACTTAATTGTCTTTTTGATTTCATATGGTGCTACATCCATTAAGACTCACCATTTAGGTTGTTTATTATGGCTAGATTATTTCAAACCTGTTTTTTGCACAAGAGAAAAATTATGCTTTTATATTAAATACTCCAAGGCTATAATTTGTGCATTGTATAAATTTATTGAGATGGTTTGATGTTGAACTGTAACCACAGCTTAAATGTTGATACAAACTTATTCAAATCAAGGAGAGATTGAAGAAGATGTACAAAGAACGTCTACCTGTCCTTGATATTTCTCAGTCAAGTCTAGTCGTAAACACAAATCAATCTCGTAGAACATTCAACTTAAACATTGAAAGAAAAATTTTCCTTTTTCAAAACTTATCTAACAATACCAAGAATACATCCATTTAATCACAAATCAGATTAAAGTTCATACTTATACATACTTGTATTTGTTGTTTTATTTTAATGAGAAAATAATTGCTTACATGTGAGATAATGTTCAAAGTTGAATTCTTAGCATTGGTAACCAAGGCTTTGTATTGGAAAATACTAATTGTTCATTTGTATAATAAAGAAATTGTTAATCATTATTAATACACATTGACACTCCCTTGTATTGTGGTCTGGTGAATAATTCCAGAATGTTCATCACCCTGGTTTTTATGTGAGTATGTTATTCTTAAAGTCATGTAGTTGCATGCTCATGTGTAGGCAGTTGCAGAAATGTAATTACTCCTGAGAAAAGTGTAACCATGTTATCTACAAATATTCATTGAGCAGCATAGTAATATATATTTAATTTGTTGGGATTGTTCACAAAGCAAACAGAGAAGATGGCAGCACAAGGTAATAAAATTGAATCAAAAATGTTTCAAGATTATGGGAAATTGGAGATTATTAGACAGAAAACCATAGGAGGAGGAAGGAGACCATACATGAACTTCACCTACTCTAAAGTCTATTTCTTCCTTTTTCATAGTTTGATAAAATTGATAAGAGCTAACATAATGCAAATGTTTGAATATTAAAGAGTAAATGTTTTCTTGCTATTTCCATGTTATAACTTTAAACACCTGTACAGTTTGCACATGCAAATTAAATTGTGTGTGAATCACCAAAAAATGTATGGTTTGTCTCAGGTAAAGACCTATAAACCGAGCTAAAACTATAACACAATTTGTAGGTCACATTAGGATGTTGCACAGATATAAAACTACATTTTGTCCATAGTTGTTAGTTATTCTCACTTGATGTTTGTGAAAAATGGAGAGTATCAACGTAAGTTTTTTCAGTTCCTTAATTTTTATGTGTATTTGACGAATTATACCTGGTAAGCTTAAGCAGAATTCCACAGGTAATTAATTTTGCAGAAAGTAATTTCATTCACGACAGCAAATGATGTAACTAAAAGCTCTTTTAATTTTTCTACTTGAAAATGCATGAAGCACCATTATCTATGTGGATGTTTTATACAATATTTTCCTTGGTTCTGATACACATTATCATTTTCACAATTTACTAAAACATTATTTCCCTGTTTATCAACCTCTAAGCATTTATTCTAGAGTTTGTAGTTGTTGAGATTAAGAATTACACTGTGTTTTATCCTTGAACAGTATAATTAAATCAAAATATGTAACTGTTGGTGTTCAGAATGACAAATACCTTGCAACTCAATTTTTTCTGTCTTTCCATTTTTTGCATTCAGAAGAATAGGAAATTGATATGAAATTGTATCAGTACAGAGCAGTAGAGTTAGGTCCCATAGGAGGTACACCATTTTCACTTGTTCCCTTCATTTTGGAAGTTATGTTGCAATGTAGTAGAACTAGTATCAGTTGAATGAGGTCTAATAAATCGTGCATTGTTGGTTGGTTGTAATAAATTGGTAAAGTGAAGCCAAAGGGACAGTAGTCCTTAAGAACTTGTAAACTGTAATTGGTCATGTTAGAGGAATGTAAAGTTAGGCCCAGTATATTATACATCATGCTAGCTTGTACATTACGGGCTAAACAAGCAAAATTAGAGTATGTTTATAAAAGAATCATTGTTTTGCAGTCAACATAGTTGTACATCAACATTCCTGGAGTAGCTTCAAAGGGTGAAAGGAACAAGTGTTTGCAAAGGTAAGATACATGTAACTAATTTAATAAGAATTTCGTAAATTTGCATCTTAATTTATACCACTTTAATTGTGATTGTAGAAAAAACTGTTGTGGTTTTTATGAGAGATTATCATGAGTGTCCATTGTTTTTAAAAGCAAAACTATTGTTTGTCCAATTTTTCTGAGTGTACACAATCTCCTTTACATAGCAAATTGGATATTTTGTTGTGGAGGAAAATTAGAGCTGTTGGTGTTAATTCTGTTATCAGTAAAGTGTTGAAATCTGTTGTCAAGAAGAAAAGCCATGGGAAATTTGACAATTAGCAATCTTGTAAACGTGGTTTTAGAAGGTGTTTTTTTTGTTAGGTGTTTTTTTTTAACTTTGTTAGCTTGTTTGAGTATTTTAATGGGGCTTTCACATTTCTGGATGATAACACTACTTGATATCCTGTTGATTTATTTTCTGCTGTATACTAAAAACAACCAGCTGAAAAGTTATTAGTTTAAGATTTTGAAGAGACAGGCTAAGCTCCAGTTAAAAGTTTTATTTTTCTAACATGGTGATTAACTTAAAAAATGAGTTGAAAAAGTGGAGGGCATTCTCTTACAAGAGTTTAAAAGGAGAATAGGTTACTTTCTGAAAGAATAAGGGGTGGCTTTTTTTTTATTGGGTGGATGTGCATGGACAACTGTAAAGGACCAAATAAGCTCTTTTTTGTCAGCATACATATATACATATAATTTAAGGACAAGAAGAGACATATTGATCCATCTAGGCTGTCTTATCCATTATACTAAAATAAAACATTCAAAGCCATTCCTTATCATTCAAATATTGACAAGCCTTCCTCTAAAACCCTTAAATTAACTGCATCTACCACATCTGAAAGAAAACCACCTTGTTATAAAAATAAAGAAATGAAACTGTCTTAACTGAAGATGACTCCTACCATGCCAAAATTATACTTGTATTCCTCAGTCTTAACATTCTTATGATTAAGTACATTAACATTATCAATTCCTTTAATCTTAAACACCTCAATCAGATCCCCTATAACTCTTATTTTCCCAAGAGAAAAGACTTAGAGATCTTAACGTATATTCATATGACAACCTTTCCATTCCAAATATCATCCTTATAGACCTCATTTGAACCCTTTCCAACAATTCAATTGCCTTTCCAGGGTAAGGAGACAAAGATTGAACACAGTACTCCAAATGTGGCTTAACCAATGACCTGTACAGTAACAATAAAACCACTTTAGACTTGTTCTCAATATTTCTTTAAATACAACCTCAAATACTATTTTCCCTGCCACTAGTAACAGCACATTGCTTGGATGGCTTACGAGACTGATCAACCAGAACACTTAAGATCTTTTTCTTTTGTAATACTGTTAGGGTTATTCCCATCAAAAGTATACTCATAATTCAGACTGTGATATCTTACATCCATTAGCTTGCATTTATTATAATTAAAAGTCATCTGCCATTTATTCACCCAACTTACCAAATAATCCAAATTATTTTGTAAAACAGCAGCAACATCCTCACAGTCAGCAACATCCAAAACTTTAATATAATCAGGAAATTGAAATAATATATTGACCATTCCTTCATCTATGTTATTGATATAAACCTAAAAGAGAAAAGATCCTAACACTGAACCCAGAAGTACCCCACTTGTGACATTGATCAAGTTTCACTGAACTCCATTTATAACAATTATCTTTTTTCTTCCATCTAGCCAATGTGCCCTCTATACCCAATCCATATATGAGCTCCCCATTATTCTTTCTTATTCACTTGTTCTTGGCAGTAAAAAATTACGAAGATGGTCTTAGGTGTTTCTCTTAAGCACTGTTACTACATGTTTCTTTTGAATTATTTTAGATCTTTTTTTGTGGGGCTTGAGCTTATTATTTTTTTGATTTTATGTTAACAAAAATTTATGGAGACATTTTTCGAATATGAATACTCACATTCATGTCTCAGACGTGGAGTCACCTGATGCCCCTAACATTACCTGTTGTGAAGGGCATACAGTTTCTTATATGCAGAGAGGTAAGTTTGTGTGAGATCAAGGGTGGACTAGTGAGAATTTAGACTCTTTATTGGGAGAAACTAGTCCATCTGATTACCTGGTTCTTCCACTTTTGCCAGACATTGCTATACATGCAAGGAGAATTGCAGACCAATTGAGGGTAGGTGTTGCCATGCCTTGACCTCCTTGTTTATTGGATCAGCACACTTTGGCTTTCCATTGCCTGGAAAACCCTTATTTGGACTCTCAAAGGTTAGACCCTCTACTTCCTAGTTGTGGCTCTTGACAAGATGTCACTGTTTATCTTAGTCTCAGTTTTTCAGAATTCGTCTGAGGCTTATCATAGATCCCCTGCTCAAATTTCAGAGTATCTTAGTCTTTGGTTAGGTTATGCTCCATCCTTGGTATCATGGTTGGTTTGTTGCTGGGATGTTTTGAAGAGAGATGCCTTACTGGAAAGAGTTTGCCTTCTTACATCGGCCCTTAGAGATCTAAGATAAGCTGTCTGTGTTTACAGGAATTCCAGACTCCATTGAATCTCGAGTAGACGTGGCCCATCTACATTATTCACTTTCTACACTGGCTACCAACTGTCCCACAGTTCTTCTACAGGATGGTTTACTACATCTCCCATTCAAGTTTTCAGACCTCCTGCTTCAGTACCACGACCCATTGGAACACAAGGGCAATTTCGACCTTACCAGTGGAGATCCTCCTCTAGGGTGGAGTGCAGTTTTTGTCATCAATGACTACCTTATGGGATCAGATCCTGTGGGGTCTCATCTTCTCCTCTTCTGTCTCTCGTACTAGTTAGCTTTCCACTCCTTAAGGGCCCTTTTACTTCCAGCCATTGACTAAAAGCTATCCAGGATCTTCTACACAAAGAGGCCATAGAGCGAATCACCTCCTCTCTCGGGGGTTTTTGTTCTTGGCTGTTTGTAGTACCAAAAAAGAGGGGCGATTGGTGACCGATCCTCGACTTTTCCCATCTCAATCACTTCCTCCAGCCTCCTCGGTTTACAGTGGAGTCATTTCTTTTGCTTCTGTGACTCTTATCACCTGGAATATGAAAGACAAAATTCAAAGTCGCAGATGCCTAACTTCATATCATGATCACTAAGTCTTCAAGGCATTATCTCCCCTTCGTGCTCTACCATTCGGCCTTGCCGGATAGTCAAGAGATTTTTCACATCATCTTCACTCCCTCAGCATTCACATTCACCATGGACGACCAGCTTCTTCTCATCCCTTCCTGCCATTTCTCATCCCTTCCTGCCATTTGGCAGAACTGCACACTCCAACTCTGTTATCAGAAATTGCGAGAGCTGGGTTTCTTATCAAAAAGAAGTCTATTCTTACTTCCACACAGTACCTCATCCATATAGGGTTGTTTTTAAATTCCAGACTAAGCTAGGACCAACCTTCTCCTCTACACCTTCAGGCCATGGAACTAGTGGTTCTTCAAATATAGTTGTCTCCTTCTCCACCAGCACACAAAGTTCTATCTCTTTTGGGGGATATGGGCATCCTTAGAATCACTCATTCCTTTAGGTCAGGCCTACATGGGGTCCTTCAGTGGTTGTTATTGGACCAGTAGAACATTTCACAGATGCACTGGATTGTCCAGTGAGACTGTCAGATTCCAGTTTGCTGGATGTAAGCTGGTGGTTGAACAGGCACAATACAACAGTAGGTGTCCCTCTTCCCCCTCCATGGCCAGAGATACATCTGTTCACAGATATTTCTCTTCAAGGCTGGGGTGCTTGCTTGTATAGACAATATGGAATTCAATGAACTTTGGGTGGTAGAGAAAGCTTCTCTTAAATTTTAGCAGTTCAATGAGCTATGACTCGGGGTCTCAAATTGTTGTAAGAGAATGTGGTAATGCTTCATTCAGACAGTTCCACAGCAGTCTCGTACATTTCAAAGCAAGGGTGCACTCACTCCAGATCTATGTTTTTGAACAGTGGATCTTCTCCTTTGGGCATACAAACACCAGATTGTTTTCCTTACTTGTCATGTTCCAGGGGTTAATGAATCTAGTGGCTGACCAGTAACCTTTTCCCAACAGAGCTCTTTCTATGGAATGGATGCTTCATCTTCAAGTTTTCATTGGACCTACTCTTGTCCAGGGACACCACATATCAATGCTTTTGCCACACACTGGAATGTTCAGCTCCCATTCTTCTGGTCTCCAGAACCTCCCCCCTCTGGCTTTGGGAATAGATGCTCTAAGCCAGATATTGGGTGGGTCTTCATCTTTATGTATGTTCCTTCTAGTTTGTCTGCTCTCCAAGGTTCTGGCACTGATTCATTCCATGTCCTGTCGAGTTCTTCTGGTGCCACCATATTGACCAGGTCTGCTCTGGTTTCCACTCCTCCAGTATCTTAAAGAGTGTCAACCTCTTCCCCTTCCTCCATGGCAACCTCTCTTACATCAGTTTCAATCAGACATTTTTCATCCAGCAGACTTTCTCTCCTATTCATCTTCCCTTCATTTCCCATTTATATAACTGTTCGGATCTGGATCGTCTTTTATGCCCTGTTCGGGCTATCTAATGTTATGTGGCATGCACTGAAGCATTTCAAGGCTCATGTCATCGGTTGTTTATTCAGTGGGATCCTTTGGTATCATGTGACTTATCCTCTGTCACTTTAAAAAGTTGGTTAGTCAGTTGGTTTGGATAGCTTACTCTGGTTTTTAAATGGAGAAGTGGAGACTTCTTTGGATCTCATCTCCTCAGGTTCGACATATATCGATGACCCATGGCAACTTGGTTGCATTGCCCACTGAAGGAAATTGTACAGGCTGCTATATGGACCACACCTTTATATTGTACTGTTTACATGATTTAGCAGTCTCTTCCTCAGATTGGTTTTGGTTACCCCCTGTGGCTATTCCACACACCCTGACTGAATTGTGACAGAGGTGAGTAACTTCTTTTCAGGGACCTTTTCATTTGAATTCCATTCAGTG